TCCAGGATCACCAATGTCATAATCAGTGAAGCAAGACTTGTTTAAAGTTTTTGGTACAAGCCACAGCTCCATCATCAGTTTAGATTGAAAACAAATTAGCAGTTTTGAAATGTTTAACTTTTCCCCAAGTGTTACAAGGGTCCCACCACACTGTTGTTTTTCTCCAGTCATCATATTTGTGATGCTATATATCCAGGAGGAACACTGTGTTGGCGTCACACTTTTGTCAGAGGTCCGTCTTAGCTCCCATATAAATACAAAGCAACACTCTTGATTTGTTAATTTAAAATTTAAAACAATGCCTCCATAAATCATTCAGCCACATATTGTTCATATTTTATTGTTAAATGTTTGTTGCAATCCCTACAGGAGACAGTGTGGTTAGTGGCTTTAGAGCAAACATTGCCATTGTTTATCCAAGTCACTGCCCTTACACACACTGAAGCCGTATATCATCTGTTATATCTGGTTGGATTCCCTCCCCGACTCCTTAGCAGGTATAATATAGCAATATAAACTGAAACATTATTCCCTGAATAAGATCCCAGTTCCACACCTCTCTTAAGCTGACTGGTCAAAGTTTAGTCGGACTGAGCTGCGCAAGAAACACAGGAGGTGTGACAGTTTGTGGCCGGAAGCCAAAGTTCTTCACCCGGCCTCATCGTGCTCCACATAGATAGAAGGGGAAGTGAAAATTGGTGTGACTGCTGCGTGAAGCTAACAGCTGTGACTGGCTTTTACCTTTAGATGGCCTGGGAAAAAAAACTGTGTCAACAGACAAGGCCCATGAATAAGAAAGGAATTACTATCGTGGATAATAACTAGTAATACTCAGGCTAAGGTAAGTAAATACAGTAAATTTGTTCAGTTTGTCAGGTACACCTGGGAAATAAGATGCAAGCTAATCCAACAGCTCTGCTCCAAATTGTAGTTTTACAAAGCTTATACATTTTCAGCTTTTGTCGATGTCAAAAAGGTGATGATTCTAATTTTGTTTTCTTTGATTTTTAACCATTTTAATTTCAAGATTGCTTGAAGCATTAAAAATCAATAGCTTTACTGAAGCTCCTAGGATTACCATGACAGAGTTGCTGACTAAGAATCTACACATGTATATCCTTAAACTGTTTAATTATGATTTCCAAAGGTAAGTTCTCTCAATGAAATTAAACTTTACAGTTGCAGTCAGTAGTTTACACCTAAAACCACTCTACAGATTTCATGTTAGCTAACTACGGTTTTAGAAAGTCAGTTAGGACTTAGCTATAGCCATGATTCAATCAGTTTCCTCAACATTTTATTTTTTTTTTTACAGGCAGTTTATTTCACTTTCAATTCACACCATTAAAATTGAGATAGATCAGAAGTTTACATACACTAAGCTGACCGTGCCTTTGAACAGCTTTACAAATTCCAGATAATTAGGTCCACAGCTTTTGGGCCATCAAAAGAAATCAGCCAAAGTCTAATTAAAAAAATTGTGGACCTCCACAAGTCTGGATGATCCTTGAGAACAATTTTCAAAGGTGTGAAGGCACCACTTTCCCCTGTTCAAACACTATTACACAACCATAAACACTACACACTCACACAGTAATCATACATTTCAAAGAGGAGAAGTGACTTAATGTCATGACATGAAATGAATGTACTTTGATCCAAAACTTTGAGCAACTTGCTCTACATCCCACCTTCCTGCTGCTTCTTTCTACCACCTGCCTGCTCCCATGTCTGATTGGATGCCCTGGTAATAAGCTCCAGCAGCAGCAGTAATCCCAACACCTGCCTTAAGTGTGCAGCAAATCTGTCATTCAGAGCGGCTGTGGTTTCATAGCTCACCACTGTGTCTCTGCTTTTTGTTTTCCCCTGTTGGTAATTAGTAGTTGTACCTGGTCTTGTATGCGCTTGTTAGCAGTTACATTGTGGTACTTTGGGTCTGTGTGCTCTTGAAATCGAATTTCTACTTCTGCGTAGTTTCTGTATACACCTTACCATGCCAACTTGCAGCTCTGTTGCATCACTTGCTTTTACTCCCTTTTGTATGCGGAGACTGCAGCAGGCTTTAGATTTACCACATCAAACACATACTTGTAGTAAAACTGTATATCAGTTTGGGCAGGTAAGCTTTGTATAGGTAAGTCACAGTAAATCTTTGGTATTTACTTTTCTAAAGAGCAGTATGAAAGCTTTAAACATTGCTCCAGATGTTTTTGATCATACTACTTTCTGTTTTGAGCAGCACTCACTGAGCCCATGAGTATTCTTACGTGCTATTTTTCCCTTACTTGGCTACATAAGTTGTAAATGCATTAATTCTGTTCATTTGAAGATGATAAGTTTGCCTTTAACTGTTGTCATCGAGTTGGTTGTGATACTCCTGGTAGCCCTTGTGGTGTGTCGTTGAAACAGTGCAAACAAATTATATTTAAACTTCTGGCCTACTTTAAATGTGATGAAAATGCTAAAAGCAGAAATATATTCTTCACGCCATCATTATTCTGACATTTCACACTATTTTTTCACTTGACATTACCTTACTCTTAAAATAAAGTTATGATAATAATTGAACTCAGACAAGGCGTGTTGACTCAGAGTAAATTAAACATTAGAAAGTGGCTTAGTATTTAGATAGGGTGTAGACTATGTAAACCTGTGACTTCAACTGCTAATAGGAGATGGTTTCAATGAATGCATTAAACATGGCTACTGACGAGGCAGGATAAATGCACCTTGTGAAGGATTTCATTTAGTAAACGATGTCCTTTAAGATGCCTTTAGGTCTCTTTGCAGCCACCATGGCAGCCACTTATCCAGTCTAGATATTGAATTGTGATTTTTTTTCTTGTATATTCAAGGTTTTACTGGTCTGCTATGGATTTAATAGGAATATCATATGCCTTAGTTTGGATGCAATCATGTATACCACTAATTCAAATTAATTTTGATTAAGTATTAACCCTAATGCCCTGGGAAGCACATTGCCTGAAAAACAACATCAACCTTTTATAAAGGGTGTGACTGCATGCATGAGAAGATTTACTCAGCTACTGCATTCAGTCATATGACAGCTTAAAATTGTTTGCTATTACGATTATGAAAAAAACACCACCACACATCCTGTGGTTGATTAAGTAAATAAGAATGTGATGCTCAAGCAGTTATGCTACACGGCACATTAGTAGCAACACTGTAGTTTTAAAATGAAAGCTGATTTACATGAGCTGTAGGCTGTTTTAATTTCAGATTTTTTGGCCTTGTTAATGTTTCTATAGATGAGGTGTGGTTTTTAAGTATTTTTTAAGAACATTTTGACAGCACAGAATAAGTCTTGTTAAATTTAAATAAGGATATACATATTTATTGTTTACATTAGAGTCATATGAAGGGTTATCCATTTGTTTGAACATTTTTTTTTCAAACTTTTTCTAAATGTTAGTAGGACTGTCCCCAACGATATCAATGATTTAAAATTCTGAAGCCCAGAATTTTAATAAATTATGTTCAACATCGAATAATACAGTAACCTAAAGCTATTCGTCTGTAAAATAACATGCATTATTGTATGTTTAAAAGGCTAATTATCTTACTGCATGTCAAGCTAATGATGTTATGCAATATTAGCTTGCTGTGGCACTACCAAGTAACTTGAATTCTTGGCTCCTGCTGGCTAAATATCCCTGGTGACCGGTGATTTTACATTATTTATGTGTCAGTAATTAAAAGTTCAATGATGATAAAGTTAGAATAAAGTTAAATCTCTTGTCCTACACACATTAGGTCTAAGTTAGATAGTTAGTTAGCTTATTAAGATCCCCATTAGCTTCAGCATAGCCACAGCTATTCTTCCTGGTGTCCAACAGCATTATATATACAAGAAAACAGAAAACAAAAGCAAAAGCCAAGTGAGCTTTACACTTCCTTGCATCTTGATATACACATTATGAGAAGCTATGCCATATAACCTTGTGCATTATCCTTTCATTATTATATCGTATTTTTTATATACATATTTCAACCATACATGCTACATGTCATACATACATATCTGCCATCTTCCGATACCATACATACACATATATAGACATACATATATGTACATATGTACATTCACATACACACACATATATATGTATATATGTGTGTGTATGTATGTATGCATGTATGTGTGTGTGTATATATATATGTATGTATATATATATGTATGTATACACACACACACACACACACACACACACACCCTATATATATCAACAATTTCCCTGAGGTTCTATCTATCTAGTTTTATCTATCTATCTATCTATCTATCTATCTATCTATCTATCTATCTATCTATCTATATAGTGATTTTGAATTGATTTATGTTAGTGGTGAATTTAATGTGTTTCGGCAATGAAAATCATTCTTTCATACCTCTATATTAGTTGACAATAATGGTGTTTTTTTTTGTTTTATTAATTAAACTATATTTTCTATGTGTTAGCAAACTAGGTTGCAGTTCAGAGCGACATTAAAATTTAAAAACAAAGTTAATCTTATGAATGACTGACACGTTTTGTAATGAAGAAACTGACTTATGAAGTTAGTTTTATAGTCACAAACGTGCCCTGTACATTTGTACACATACTTCTTATGGACATATTGTATTGATATACTATATATGTACATAAAAAAAAGAAAAAAAAAGAAAATAAACATTATTCTTAAGGAAGCATCTTGGCCTAGTTTACCGTTATTTCAGACTTGTTCCAAAAAGTGGAAAATGATCTGAATACAATGTTTAGATATGGTCATACATTTTAATTACTATATGAAGACAATGTGACCCAATGTGAATATATCTCTACACGGCGTTTTCTTTCGTTTTCTGTTCACATTTTGGTTTCCATTTTGGTTAAAATCTAAATGTACGACCTTACCCAAATAACACGGAAGCAAATCCCAGTATGGGAAAGTGTGATGGAATGGCTGCAACAGCTGCACGTTTATTTGCGGCAGAAAATGTGTTTGCGCTTTATTTTTTTTGTGCGTAATTGTGACCGGATGTAACCATTTGTGTGGACGGAAGACAGCAGTTAGACAAGTTAGATGTAGTCCCTGCAGGGTTGTGGACCAGTTTTATATCGCTGTTTCAACCTGCGCGATAGTTTCATTAAACTACGGAGCTTATTCGAGTCGGTCCGGTTCTCCCGGTCGGTTAGCTCGACCGTTAACGGTTCCGTTAGCTGTGCAGCAGCAGCTACAGGACGTCTCGTTAACTTAACACTGAAGTTAGCACTGTCGATCAAATAACGGACTAGCCAGTTAGCTAGCCTCGGCTCACAGCAGGCATGAGCAAATGATTAACTGGATATGACTGCAGCTGTAATTCGCTTTTTCTTCCGGGAGGATCATTTGGGTTGCATTTTTGTTCCGCTTTGCTCGCTGTGTTGCCAGATAGGTGTTAACTGAGCAGCGCTGTAGTATGGCTAGCTGAGCTAAGTTACCGCTCCGAGAAAAGACTGCGTCGTGGTCGAAGCTGGCTCAGCTCGCGCAGCTTTGGCTATTCAAAGCTCATGTTAATCGAGGTGAGAAAATAGCTGTGGGTTAATACAGCTGCTATGGTGTCTGCGTTACCTCTGGTGAGTAAACCACACCTTGAACGGGGAGTGACACTTCACCGCTGTCACTTTGTCATTTCTTCACAGTCGCCAGCGCAGCAACTGGACTTTCCCTACAGCTGTGGACACTTGCAGTGAAACTTATGTCCGTGCGGTCTTTCTGTCTCTCACATCCAGCTCCTGCCAAGTTGAACAACTGCCAGTGAGATACCTGGTTCAGCATGAAGGCCCTCGGATCCAGATTCTCCTTTTATGCGGGTTTTGTGGTGGGAACCTTCACACTGTACCTGTTTCTGCGGCAAGTGTGGTTTGCCAAGACTTTGCCAGATCTGCAGGCCAGCAGCTATGGCAAACTTCATGACCACCAGCAACAGCTTGAGGTAGACAAGAACATATGGAAGAAAGAGAGGTCTGCTCTTTTCAACCTGAAGCACCCTCATCATAGAGGTAAGTCATATAGAAGATATAGTCCAAAAATGTTCTAATTTGGAGAGACGTGTTTACTTTTCTCACATGCTCAGTGAATACAGTTTTAATTTCCTATATTCAACCCTTGCTTCCATGGTATGGCCGTGTAGCTGTCCTTCATAGTCACAGTATTTGTCTGTGTGACCAGTGGTCTGATAACAATATAAAACTTCACCAACACTCGCAGTATAAAGACAAATCTAATAGTTATGTCTCTAAATTATGTTGTTCTTGATACCGATTAAGCTATTTCCCTTTTAAATGTACCTTGGAGACAGGAAAAGTTAGAAAAGCTTCTGTCAGCATTGAGAACCAAGCAGTGGAGCTGGTTGACAACTACCAGCACTCACCTTGATGACAAGCTGTCCTTTGAGCTCCATGTTTATTTTATTTTATTTAGCCTTTATTTTAAGCAGGTAAATTAATTGAGAACTGGTTCTCATTTTCAATAACAACCTGGTCAAGAGGCAGCATACAAACAAGATGAACAGGAAGAACAGATGACATTACAACTCACACAATGTTCTAAAACTAATTACGCAAAGACTTAAAATAGAGAGGCAAAAAACAGGTACATTGGTCCTGAAGTGTTGCTCTAGTGTTGATGCTGTGTGCACGAAGGCTCGCCAGCGCATGCATTTTTATTGGAAGCATCGTAGTTTTAATGTTGACAGTACTTTTCTAGTCTAGCAGACAGTACAAATGTTTTACTCTTGTTTTATTGAATCCATCTTAACTTTCTGTTTTATTTCTTGGTACGGCTTGCTTTCCCTCAAAAATAAAAACAGATCACAGGGTGTCGTAAGACTGCAGCAAAATTTCAATGATTACCCTGAGTGACCTCTCAGCCCTCTATCAAATCAGAACTTTAAATACTTTCGAGTTCCTGCTGCTTCCGTCAGGGCGCAGCTACATCCTGCCTAAATGCAGGACTAACAGACACAGGTGTTCTTTTGTCCCTCTGCCAATGCTCTACTGAACAAGTAGATCTACTTTCGGTTTGATTCATCTGTCTATATATCTTTACAATGTATTGTATTTGCTATTTGCTGCAGGCTGCATAACAAAGTACCCCACAGGAATAATATAAATTCCTTGAAACTTGAAGTCGTGTCAGAAACAGAACTCTGTTTGTATACTGTAAATTCAATAATGACACTAAACCTAATAACAACTGACCGCAAGTATGAATTTTGACTGACAGAATAGAGCCCCTCCCTTACTTAAAGAATTATGACCCAAGTGCCACTGAAAGATAGGTCACCAACTGCAGTAAACAACAGTCAGTGATGGTGACTGCGGCTTTTTGGCTGCTTTCCATGTTTGCCTTTGTGGAGAGTAACAATGAGCTTTAAACTGTTTTTAGTCCTTAACAGATTAGAAGATACAGTGTTGATTAGTTGTTTCAAGGCCTGATCCAGTTACTATTTTGTCTTACATAATTGATGGGCTTCATTGAATTGATATGACTGATGTGATATTTGATTCCTTTGTATCACTTACCCAAATGCTATACATACACAGGGAACACCCGTCTTATGTTTTAAGACATACAATTGGACCAAATTAGGTTGTGAAATGTTCACATTCTAGTAACATCTCCAGCAGTTTTGTGTCACGAGTTTTATGTTCTTGAGAAATATCTGCAATGCTTGGAAGAGATTTACACACCCACTAAGGGAATTCTTTTTTTTTCTTCTGTTTTAAATGGATATTGCAAAGTGAAATGATGATGTTTATATCCCCCTTACCAGGTGAGGATAGCAGTATGGCTGACGAATTGTACAAAAAGGTGCGCATTCTCTGCTGGGTGATGACTGGACCTAACAACCTGGAGAAGAAGGCTCGACATGTGAAGTCCACATGGAGTCGACACTGCAATATTGTTGTCTTCATGAGCTCCGTGGACGACCCTGACTTCCCCACAGTAGGATTAGGTACAAAGGAGGGTCGTGATCAGCTGTACTGGAAAACAATCCGGGCCTTCCATTACGCCTATGAACATCATGCCGACGAGGCAGATTGGTTCCTCAAGGCAGATGACGACACCTACGTAATTGTAGACAACCTGCGATGGGTCCTCTCCAACCACACACCCGATGAGCCGATTTACTTTGGCCGAAGATTCAAGCCCTACACCAAGCAGGGTTACATGAGTGGTGGTGCGGGTTATGTACTGAGCAAAGAGGCTTTGCGGAGATTTGTAGAAGGTTTTAAAAGCAAAGTGTGCACTCACACTACCTCTGTGGAGGACCTGGCAATGGGACAATGCATGGAGAAAGTTGGGGTGCTGGCAGGAGACTCCAGAGACACTGAACACAGGGAGACATTTCACCCCTTTGTCCCTGAGCAGCACCTCACCGCCAAGTTCCCAAAGAGCTTTTGGTATTGGAGCTACTGCTACTACCCCATCTCAGAGGCAAGTACAGATAAGATCGTGGAACTTCTCTTCACCTAGTGTTAACGTGGTATTCAGCATTGTTGCCAGTGTTGTTAAAGTTTGAATAGATGGTGTCATCACCTGCATGCTTGTTTTCGTAGTTTGTTGTCAAACTGGTGAAGCCATATTTTTTTAAACAGACTGGTCCATTTTTACATTTATGAAAACAATTTTTCTTAATGTGTCACATAGACAGGCACACAGATGAGTTTAAATTTGAACCACCCATTCATACTGAAATCTGTTTCAGAACTTCCAATACCTAAATTGTCTTATTCTGTTCTTTATTCAGGGTCCAAACTGCTGCTCGGATGTGTCGGTGTCTTTCCATTATGTAGATGCTTTGGGCATGTATTTATTGGAATACTACACCTATCACCTGCGTGCCTTTGGCTACAAATACCGTTACCAGCCCCCCACCCCATTAGCCTACAGTATTGAGCAGTCGAGACCCCAGGAACCTGCAGAAGGACAAAAAGAGCAGGCTTCTCAAGAGAAAGAGCAAGGAGAGGTGAAAAGGACTGACAAGAAACAGGATGCAGATCCCCCTCCTGTAGCTGGTAAAGACCCTCCTGCTGCTCCAGCGGGCAAAAAACAGTAGGACTGTTGATGTGTCAAGGGAACTGATCATTAGGAGGAGGAGGAATGGTTCTTTTGAGTGTTTTTGCATTCGTTTTGATAATTTCGGCTCATATCTCTACAAAAGGCAGAAAAACTGTTCACTTTGATTGTACGGTTCTGCCTGTACAAGTGGTTTGATTGAGGATTCTTGGACAGACTGCTGACAATGTGAACTGGAAGACTGGTTTTCAGGCTAAGGGGTGATGTATGGCATTTACCCATGTATTTCTGTTTTGTTAAGTGGTTTTTACATCCAAGTGTCTTCTTTAATAGTTGGGAGCACCTCTCTGTAGGCTGTATTCATTTGAAAATGAACTAAAGGGAGTATTTTAGCTGTTTTCCAGAGCCTTTCAAGTTTGAATCTGAAATTGTTTGACCTATTTACCTACTGTAGTCCCTCCAAAAACTTGATCTAGCAGTACCATCTCCTTGACTTGTTGGGGTTGTTGCCTTTTTTCACGCATAGAGAACTGTGTGCCTACCGATCAAACATGTTTATGTGTCTTGAGCTCATCAGATAAAACCCAGACTAGGACAAATCCATTCAAAGTTGCCAATATTTGTTTTGAGGTTAACCAGTTTTGGTGTCACTGTTTACTGATGTAGGCCTGAATTCAAAAACCTTTTAACATTACAGGCAACTGTGACATTATGACGGTGTTCTATGTAGAGCTTTTTATTTGTTTTTAGGGGAAGTTTAGTCACATATTATTTGCATTTAGCCCTGCGAAATTTACATGAAGAAAGTCTTTGCTTCAAATATTAATTTTTTACGGTTTTATTTAAAAGTATATTTAAATGAGGTGAGTTGCAATTAATATTATTTTAATTACAGATTAAGTCATTAACAGTTATTTCATCCATTAATCAGCTGATTACTTTGTTGTATGGAATTTGAGAAAATAGTAAAAAAATAATTCCTGTTATATTTTCCTAAAAACAAGGTGATGTGTACAGATAGCTTCAGTTTCCAACAGTCAAAAATGCCAACATGATCAGTTTATTATCGGATAAGACAAGGAAGAGCGGAAAATCCCCTGAAGTGAGAAGCTGAACCAAGATAGTTATTTTTTGTTAAATACAGAACTTTAACAATTAGGCGATTATCAAAAGAGTTACCAAGAATTTTTTGGTAAATATTGAGTAATAGGTTGATCAAAAAATCATTTCAGCTCTGTAAATGAGGTCGTGAAAGTGATGGCACTTTTTTGTTAGTCGTTGTCTTGTGCTTTACAAGCATGTTTTCCCATCGCTGGTTAACTAGTAATATAATCTAAACTTTTGGCAAAATAAATGTTATTAAACTTTCACCCTTAATTAAATGGTAATGCATGGGAAAATGCAGCCAGTTGCCAGTTAATTAGGTACATTTAGCTAAAACAAATGCTGCCTAATACTGTCATTACAGTTGTTGATATGTCTAAACTGTTTTTTTTAGAGAAGTATTGTGCACCTCTGCACATGTGTGCAAAAGACAGAGACATGCTGTCTGAAACTAAGATAAAAGTAAAATGAAAACAAACTAACATTATAACCTTCTCAAAGGAAGGATTTATTGCAGGACCATTGTGTCGGACAGCTTTAGTTTCAGATGTTCCTGATCGACTGAGAAAACACAATAGTAGACAGTATAGATAGTATCGTTTTGTTTTTTTTTGTAGCCAAGCATTGTTTGGATGCTTTGATTTATCTCAATGGTTGATAGGAATGTAGTGAGTTAACCACAATGCTTTAAATGAAAAGTCCAAATGATTAAATTTCCACAATTCAGCCAAAGATTTCCACACCACACTGAAGACAGACAACCATTGTTTGTGTATTTGTAGTCTTGGGGATATTGCAGTGAATCTTAGTGCTTTTCATTTGTTTTTTTACATGGGTATATGTTCAGTTGACAGCAGATTTGTTTAACTGCTGACTAGATATGTCAGTTGGACAAGTTATCTGTCTCTGTGATCAAACTCTATTGACGACAAACCATCCACGGCACATAGTTGTCTATCTGTGCTTCCTGAAACTGGCACTGCATACGCACACCTGACAATGTCTCTGCATCTTCCCCCAGTGGACTCATTAGCTTGTGCCTTGTAAATGGAGATTGTATGAGCCATCAGCTAAACACATGACTTTGCACTGTGACATTACCCCGATGAGAGTGTTGCTTTCAGATGGAGTCTGATCTTGTTGAATCCTTCCATTGTAATGCGAATGGCCTTTGGGCAAGCCAGTGAATGACTTGTTCATGGCAGGTTATTTTTTTCTTTGAAAAAGCAAAGGGGGGCGGGGGGCAGTTGGGTGGGCCGATGGGTGGGTCAGACCAGTTCTTTTGCAGTTAGTACATATTGTATATTTCAAAGTATTCATAAAGATTCTTTTTACTAGTTTGTAACCAAACAAAGAGTTAAATTTATGGGAGATACATTTATGACCAAATACAGGAATAAGTGCAGACTGAAACTGAATGAATTAGGCATTTATGTAAAAATTGAATGCACTTTGGAATGAAACTGTTGCTGTTTTGCTTTTTAACCACTTAAACTTTTTTTTTTTTTTTTTTTAATTTACTGTTAAAAACCTATGGGGTAATGATGCCTATAAAAATACATTTTTCTAAGTGTTTACACTCAGTTCCATCTGTGCATGAACACAGAGCATGTTCAGTTTCATTTCTTTTTTCTGGTATTAAAAATGAAAAAGTCCAGTTTTAACCAAATCAGCATGTTTTACGTAATGGTTTCTTTTGAAGTTAATGCACGATTGTGCAAGTGAATTAGATTTTTTGCTGGGCCAGACTCATTGTCGATAACAGCCACATCTGGTTCATGATGGGAGTGATACAACACATCCAGTTCTTGACAATCTTCTCAATATTAAAAATTTATCAAAGGGAAAGGTGTACAGTGCTGTATTTATATTTTAAATGTATTTATGTTGGTACTGATGTCGAAATTGAGTCAGTACACTTTAGTGTGTAAATGAGTTTGTCTCACTGTGTGAGCACACGTAATCAGTGTGCAGGATTGTTTTAGTGGATGGTACTTTAATCACTATAAATAAATGCATATTTTATTGTACATCTTGTTTTTTACATTTGTTTCCATTACATCACATTACATCATGTCAGAATTGTACAGTGACAGCAGAAAAATGTACGTGCAGGATTATTACGGCTGTTTCACCTTTCTGTGGTTAAATATCATTTCATACATTGTCTTCTGTATACAGTAGTTGTGATGGTTGTGGACTGGAGGTTTTAAGTCAGTGTTGCAAATAGAAGGATGGGTGATATCTCCATTACAGAGAGTGTTGGATCCTGAAAAGAGACAAACAAGGTTTGTTCAAAAGATTTAGCAGCAAATACAGTTTTCTCTCTTTCTTTATTTTCAGCAAGGATGCAGATCAGTGCTTCTTACCTCTGCCTCCCAGTATTGATGAATCCGCCTCCCCTTTTCTGTAAATACTGTGCACGCCAACAAGCCTTTCCTGTTGCACACAAAGAAAAACTGGTTCTAACTTATGCTGTCAGTCGTTAATTGATATAATCACTATAGCAGTTATAGTCACACACAAGGTCCTGATTGTATACAAATTATGTTTTCATTCCAAGAACTACATTAGACACTAATTTGGGTGATAAAATCAGTGCACATGGTTCTTCAACCTCAGGGAGAGACACAGGATAGATCAATCAAATGCTGAATAGCTTATTGTATTAATTGCTTTGAGTCGTGCAGAAGTCACTCACTTGTCCTCACTTGACCCAGTAGATCAGCAAGAACCTGATCAATGTGTCCTGCTCAAGACAAACACGAAATATGTTACAATGCATTGAGATCACTGTAGGAAAATGTTGGATGCTGGTTTGACAGTGAATTATGCTTAAAATTCTCACTTTTTCTTGACACTGCGGTGGTTTTTTGACCTGCAAAAAAAAAAAAAGGTTAAAGGTTAGACAACAAGTGCTAAATGTCAGTTGAACTGCTGAACACACTCACTGCAAAACAAAACTCACTGCTTGGTGGAGCGACACTTCTCCGTCCCATTAGGCTCACAAAAGTGTCGTAATCGATATCGTTGAATCTCTTCAACGCTGTATCTTCACATTCGTCGGACTTCGCCTGAAAGAAAAGAAAAGAAAAAACATTGTTGGCCTGTTGCTAGTTGTTGTGCGTGTCTGCTGCAGTGACACACTCAGGTGTGGGAGTGTAGGTGCAGCTCATACCTCTCTCAGTGATTCGTAGGTCTCTTCTTCACACATGGACCTCACAGGAAACAAGACGAGGATGATCAATGCAGTCAGCAAAGCAAGAGTGCAGCAGTTTGCAGTCCTCCCCATCACTCTGAAATGGGAATCAGCACATTAAAATGAAGGCAGTTTATGAAACTGATTGCTGTTCGTTATTGTTTCAACTTGGGTGTTTCTACATGTTAAAACTTTAGAACCATGAACTTCAAATCCAAGTAGTGTCTCTCTGTCCTTCCACAAATTTCCATGTTGCTGTAGACCTATAATTCACAGACACCTTCAATTTTTAAACACATTTTACATCCAGATATGTTACACACCGCATCTGCTGAGTCAGAGATTTCATGCTTCATCCTACTTTGACTTTGCATTATTTGATATTAAAAACAACTCTTAAGACATCTTTTGTTTGTAAATGTCAGCCATCTTTGCAAATATGACCTCCCATTCATATCAGAAAATGCTCTGCTCATGCACCATATTCAAGACGAAGTATTCTGAGGTACAAAGTACAATAAAGCACATTAACTTTTCATGTGATTAATGTCATCCATTCAATCAGCACAAGCAATCACAATCGTTTTCCTTAACAATCGAGTCTCCTCTTGACCTTTCTTGTGATATAATTAAACCAATCTTTATTTTTGAGCAGCGTGACATGCTGTTCAGAAACATAAAAGTCATAAAGAAGACGGTGCATCAAAACCAAACATTTTTTAAAGCTCTTTTTGATAAATCATTTGTGAAATGTAGGTATAATCTACAACAACAGATTCTCCTCTAAACTAATTCTGTATCTTTTAGTAGACAACTGTATCTCTAACCTGTATTCACAACTGGTGTATTTGTCGTTTCTTTCACAAACTAACTTAAAACTTTTAACATTTTTGTACTGTTACTTCACGGCTACTTTATAAATTAATTAAAATGCTTTGAGTTGCGTAGTCACATAAGAATTGCCACATCATTTCTATTCAGTAACCGACTACTTTTCAAAGTAATTTGACAAAATGCTGCATATGCCACCAAACTAGCTGGATTCCTGTTTAGTTTAGACAACAGGACTTCAGACTCCTGCTTTTGAAGGTTTGGGCTTAACAGCGCTTCTTGTCATTCTCAGTCTGAAACTCATCAAACTAATGCACATCTACATACACGCTGCTGCACAGAAACAGTCTCTGCTGATGTTAACACATTAATGTCTTCTTTCAGTTTCTCACTTCATTACACTGTGAGCCAGTGACCTCTAAAGGGTGTAAAGTAACTGTTAAATAAGAGAAATGACTTCAAGATTTATCTACTAATCAAATAAACTCATAGTGACCTAATCATTTATTAACGGTGAACAACAGGAATTCATCATACATCCTGCTAAATTCAAGCATGAAGATATCGTTATATTTCAACCTAGCCATAAATTAACAATTAATAGTTAATCAGCTGTTTTGTAATTTTGATCTGATCATCTGCTGATCAGTCTGCTGATTTCAAAAAATGTTTAAAAATATTTTAAAAAAATAAACAATACAAATAAAAATTAACAACAAAATATAATAATAATAATAATAATAATAAGAATAATAAGAATAATAAGAATAATAAGAATACAAAAATCAGAAACAAACTATTGTGGTAATATAACCCAAAATGTGATGTCCATGCATGTGGATTCCAGGTCTTAAGAGGTTAAGGAAATGCCTCAAGAATTCAACAACTGTTTCACACTCCAATATTTTTTATATGTAACCCTAACCCTAGTACACAACATATCTCATCAGCTGAACAGGAAATACTGAAGAACATTTTAATAAACTAGCTGCAGACACCGTAATCTTAAAAGATAAATTCCAACAATTGCTCTCAGCACTGATGGAGGCAATCACCGCTTTACTGACTTTATGTTATTATTACATTTTGTCAAAGTTCCAAATTCTCAGCAAAAAGTGCGTTTTGTGCTGAAGATGAGTCAGTCAGTCAATTCATTTTTAACCAAGGATTCATGTAGCAGAACAGGAAAAGAGAAATAAATGCATCTACATTTCTTCTCTTCATTAACAGCGTAAACGATCATAAAGTTATTGGATTTGTTTTTTAGACTAAACTATTGCAAAATAATGAAAAAGAATAATGCTTACCTCAGCCTGATCCTTCAGTATAAACAGGTGATCTGTTCAGTATCAATGAACCTCTATGGCAAGTCGAAAACACGTCTTTCCGCTCTGCAGCCTCTCTGTCTCAATTATTATAGTTCTTCAGCTCATTTGTAATCCAATTAGCACTCCACCCGCCACCCAAACCCCCAGCCCACCCCTACGGACACACACACACACACACACACACGCACACACACACACACACACACACACACACACACACACACGCACACACGCACACACACAGAATTCGTAGTGTCTTTCTCATCAGACATGCCTGATTGAATATCTCACTCAACATGCAATTTTGGGATGGAACTGTAATCGGTTTGTAAAGGAAAATCATGCATCTTTTCACTGATGGTTATTTAATGATATAACCATTAAAATTAAATGTTGATGACTGGCTAATTATTAATTATGTCACAAATCCTATTCTTACTGACTTACCAGCCAGATGACCTCATGAGTCTGAAAAGCGGAAACCGTCCTCACAGAGTCGCCCTCTTCTCTTCACCAGCAGTTCTCAGCAGTGGTGTGTGTGTCACTCTCGTTGTTGGCACGTAAATTTGCATTCAAAGTCACATTTTTGTGACATGCATCATTTTTTCCATGGTCAAGGAAAAGGCTAGTAGTACTCATAGTTAAACAGAACACAACAATGTGTGTGTTTGTGTGTGACATACAGCATTTAAAGTGATGTTTGGAACAAATTTGCATTTTTCCTCTGCCTTTATGAAAACACCAGGAATATTATTACCTTTTCTACGATTATTACTGTATAACATACTGTCTGTTCTTAAACGGAAAAATGCCAAACCTCTGATATTTGGTGTTTTATCAAAGAACAAATTAAATTCTTTAAATTGAATGTGCGATGCATCCTAGTTTTACACAACAAGGCACACAATTATTTATTTAAATGCGATAATATGGCTTAGCATAGAACTATTTAACTTTCACATACTTTGTTCTTATAACAATTTCAAAAAAGAACAAAAAAACAAACAACCCCCCCACCCCCACTTACCACTTACCATAGGGTGTGTGCATGTCCCAGGAAATGAAGTCTCTAATGCGCCTGTGTGGCTAGACTTGGAAAGCGGCGTACGCCCAACAAGCGGATATTACTGTTCTGTCTACTCTGTCATTGGCTGGTGTATAAAGAACAGAGAGCCAAATAACGCCCACGCTCTCTGGGTAAATGACCACTGAAATGATCAGCGGAAGCCTTCTGACTGACCTCAAAGTCTGACTGCACCCACCTGCAATTTATAAAGTCATATTTAAACATAAAACAAAAATCATTCTGTCCCATAAACAGACAAATCCTGTCTTCAGCACTGATTCTCACTATGTTCGTGACTTCAATTAACACAGCAGAAGTGACATCTAAAACAAGTGTTGTTAGATTTTTCCCTTTGTACCCAAAATACATTTAAAGGAAAACGAGACTTCTTTTCAGATTGTCTAATTGATTCAAAATTCAAGGCCTTTGGTTGGGGAGGCCAGTTCTGATGGTGCGCTCAGCTCAGCAGACCACCCTCCTCAGGGCCAAGAAGTCCTGCTGGGTGCTGCTGCCCATCCAGGTGGTGGTACTCCCAGCCAAAACACTCCCAATGGTGCAGGTGTAGAAGTTCCAGAGCACCTTGAGAGGTGAGAGCTTAAAGTCCCT